TAAAATGGGCAAATTGCCCTCTCGGTGTTCGCACCAATCCTCAAGAGATCATTATGATGAGATTCAAAAGGAGTGATGATAGAGGACCTGAGCCTTATTCAGTTGGGGCCCGTCTGGTTTCTCTTTCTTCTCAAACCCCAGGCGTTGAGAGATGCAAGTTATCTTTATAGGCACATAGGAACTGACCAGGGTTGCCTTGTACTAGATTGGATGTTTGATTCACCCAGCACAGAATTGGCAAGATTGACACCCAATATCTCCTGATGGTCTCCCATCCAAATACTCACCAGGTCTAGTCCTGCTTAGCTTCTGAAACCACACAAGGGCAGGCAAATCAGTGGTATTCAGGTGAGCACAGTGACTTTCTTCCCCTCCTTCTTCTCTTTGTTCACTCCATTTGCAATCCTTGCTTAATAGCTTTGGGGATGAGCCAGGTCTCCATAGCAGAGTGCCTGGTTTGCATTAGATTCGTTAGGGTAATAGCCTAGTGTCTCCAGTTACAGCAATCAAGTTGTGTATGATATAAAAAATTCCTTCTCTTGTGAGATCCTAGAAATTGTTGTAGAATGGGAAATACTGCACTAGATAAGCAAAACAATCTATCCTAGAAAGGCAGCTTCCAAGCATCCTCTTTAACTCCAGTATATGTACAAAGCAACCTTTGACATTTAAGAATCTTTCCAATTTGAGGAATGCTAGTAGTTTTTATGATTGCCCAGAGTGGCTCTTTTGTACAGCTAATGGCTCTTCATTGCTCTGTGAAAACCAAGCATTTCAAAGGGGATAGCTTGCAATGTTATAAATCCATTTCTCTCCTCCAGCTACTCTGCATATTGCAGCTACGTTGGGAGGGAAGAAGGAATCTTTAGTGGAGTGGTGGATAATGTTGAAGTCTCTGCTATTAAAAAAAAAAAAAACCTTAGGGCTTCCATTTTGTCCATCCTGGTTCCTCTATACCATTGCATTTGGAAGAGTGGAAGCCTCGCTCCTTCACTGTATTTCTGTTGGAAGGGATCTTGTGGCTGTCAATGAAGAAGAAAATGTTGGACTAAAGGGATGTTGGTAGAACTCAGAGGACATCTAGTGGACCCGAATAGTCAAGGACTCCATTACATATAGTAGTGAAAGATTTTGTACACCTTGGTTCAGTCATCAGCCCAAATGGAAACTGCAACCAAGAAGAAATCAGAAGAAGGCTGAGACTCGGAAGGACAGCAATGAAGGGATTAGAAAAGATCACCAAGTGTCAGGATGTGTCCCTGGAGACCAAGGCCAGGATCATCCACACTCTTGTGTTCCTAATCACCGTGTATGGGTGTGAAAGCTGGACAGTGAAGAAAGCTGAAAGGAAAACAAATGGCTTCATTTGAAATATGGTGCTGGAGGAGAGCTTGGCAGATGCCCTGGACTGCCAGAAAGATGAGCAAGTGGGTCATAGTTGAAATCCAGCCAGAACTACCCTGTTTCCCGGAAAATAAGACCTAACCCGAAAATAAGCCCTAGTATGATTTTTTCAGGATGCTCGTCATAGAAGCCCTACCCCCAAAATAAGCCCCAGTGAAGTGAAACCCCCACCCTCCACCCTTGTGCAGTAACCACAAGAAGATGACAGGGCTGTATTTCAATCAATGTAGATTGTTTTACATGAAAAAATAAATAAAACACCCCCTGAAAATAAACCCTAATGCATTTTTGGAGCAAAAAATTAATATAAGACCCTGTCTTATTTTCGGGGAAACAAGGTATCTCTAGAGGCAAAAATGACAAAACTGAGGTTGTCCTCCTTTCGGGCAGATGGTGAGAAGGCAAGATTCTCTGGAAAGGATGATCATGCTGGGAAAGGCTGGACAGCAGCAGGAAAAGACTAAATACGGCATGGCTTGAGTCCCTAAAAGAAGCCACAGGGTTTGTGTTTACAAGAGCTGAGCAAGGCTGCTGAGGACAGGATGATTTGGAGATCACTCATCTATAGGGTCACCCTAAGCCATGGGTGACCCCGACAGCATATCGCAACAACAACAAAGGATTCAAAGGCTAGGATTTATTTATTTATTTATTTTAAAAGTCTTTATGGCGTTCTTTAAGGACGACAGAGATAAGGGCAAATTCCCCACCTCCATTTTTCTACCGCCACTAAAAGGACTCTGTCCATGGTGCTTGCTGGCTTAGCTACTGAGCCAAGCCAGGAGTGGCATGCCTTGTTTTAGTAGAAGTCCACCCTCCCTGAAAGTACAGTTCTCCTAATTTTGCTGAAGTGGGTTAAAAAAAAACAAGCGAAAATGGGGGGGCTACCAGAGACCCCAATGGCTGAGTCCGTAGGTACCCTTTTCCCTTGCTGAGCCAGTCTTAACTTTTTTGTTTTTGCCACAGCCCTTTCAGGTGCTCTTCTTGGGTCCCAGGGCTCTCGGTCAAACAAGGATACAACACAAACGGATAGATTTCAGAAACTTTTCACATTTTTTTTCAATTTGTGCCCCCACCTTCAAATGTGCCAGCCCCCCCCTTCAAGGAACCCCCCTTCAAATGTGCCAGCCCCCCCCCCTTCAAGGAACCATGTGGCCTCCATTGAGAATGGCTGCCATAGAGGGGCAGGGACGGAACGTCATCTCATTTATTTCCTCTTTGACCCAATGGTGGACTTCTGGGATTAAATTTGCCATCTTCTTTCGCATTTTTATCCCCAGTCTTCATGTTGGCTAAACTCTCAAATTGCCTTCCGTTATCCCTGGTTTCTCTGCGGCCTTGTTGTGCCCCATGATCCAGAAAGACTGGCAATGATCTCTTCTGCCCACTTGAAAAGAAGAATTAAATTTCACAGAGGACTGTTTTGTTTTGTTTTTCTTTTTGTGTTTTTTTTTCCATTGTGCAGTCTCTTGAAAGGGAATCTCACCTGGCAAAACCAAAGGGAACAGACATGGCGCGTCACCCCCCCCAAAAAAAAGTGTTATGAATCTATGCAAATCATCAGCCAGCTCTCAAAATGAGAACCGGCTAGTGGAAGCATATGCAAATTCCTTTTTTAAAAAGATTGATCCTTTCCACTGGAATTATCAAGAGTTAAAGCTACTCCTGCAAAGGCCGATGGGCGTATCTAAAAGCCAGACCGTTCTTGCCACACCTGGTTCTATAGGTGGTTTGTCTCTGTTTGATCGTGGGCCTTACTCTCTGACTTCTGAATTCTTTCTCGTTGGACTCTGGTGAATTTCTCATGGGGGCATCCACGGCAACAGCGCCAGTCATTTCTAAGGCAACTCGAAACTCAAATTAATAGCGACAATCCAAGGATCCACAAAATGTGTTTCCAAAGCAGCGTTCTGTTCTATTTCGTTTGATATAGGGGTGGCCCCTGCTATCCAGTGTTATAGAAGTATGAAGGAGGAAGAATGAGAGGAGAGGGATGGATGGCTCAAGACAAGACCCAAAAATTGGGTTTGGGTTGTCCTCCATTGTTCCAGCAATAGGGCATGAATGGCATGCCAATCGCTCCTCAACCCAGGGGGCATGAGATGGCTTCCTGCAAACTCTTCCTTGGTAGCATCAGCCTTTAACCTGTAATACTGCAGAAGCTGGGCTGAGCCTAACGGCGCACAAAATTCTCATATTCTCTGATTCTATCTCTGGCCCTAATATGGTAAATAGGAAAGCCAATTAGATTTGCGTACACCCAGGAGGCAGGAAAGTTTTAAGGGTCGGATCATACTTCCGCACTATTCAAGGGCAGGCCGGGTAGGTGGGGCTCGTCAGCCTGGGAAGGCAGTCCATCTAGGAGAAGGAAAACTCAGATTTCAAACCTCCACTGCCTTGTGGCTATAGCCACTCATGGAAAAGGCTTCAGGAGTTAACCTCGAGGCAAAATCCGGAGCTGGAGTCCCGAAGGCAGTTCGTGTCGTTCTGCCAACTCCTGCGACGTTACTGGAACCAGTTGTATTGGCTCTTGCCTTTCCATTGGACCATTTCAGCAGCGTGGAGAGGAGGGATTTGCTGCTTGGGTAACAGCCTATCCTCCATTTTACTTTACCCAGGCTTCATGCTCTGGAGAGGACACTCCTCGATTCAGAGCATGTTACCATAGTCTCTCGAGACTGAAGGATTCCTATGCCTATGCAGAAATAATTGTGGCCAATCGTAGTGGTTTGTCATAAGAACATTTTTAAAAGAATGAGAGGCATGTCTTTGTGTCTTTAAGAAGACTCGCTAAGACATGATTCAGGGATTGCCACGTTCACTTAATTGCCACGTTGTTTTGAAGCATGTTGTTTGAGATGATTGTCATTTTAGAATCTATGGCCTGATAAGAAACTTTAAAGTATGTTTACGACAGAGAAACAGAGAGAGGAAAATCTCATCCCAGGATAATACTGGTGCATGTGTGTTATGCTAAGTTTTACTGTAAAGATTACTGAGGTGCCAACGATGATGACAGTATCCTGATACAACTTTTCTGCATACGTATATGTTTCTGTATGATGGAGGTAGAAAGATTTTTTTCAGGAATCAAACCGGGTTCTCTGCCTATTTATTTATTTAAAACGTTTTCACACTACCTTCAGAATACAGTATAGAAAGGATTCACAGGCCAACCTGTCTAAAGGAGAAATAGTATGGCGGGTGGTTAGGATCAAAGGGCAACAATGGGGATTTTTTGTTTCTTTCCCCTCCTGGCTTTCTCTCACCCCAAGAGGGATGGCTGGCCCTATTTCTTCTCCGGCCTTTGCCTTATCCTCACTTTGAGCTATGATCTGTCAAAATGAATGAATTCAAAGACTCTGAGATGAATGAGAGCAGGAGAAAGAGGAACTGCAGGAGGAGCGTTGGCACACTGATGCCCAAACTTATGAATATTCCAGTGGCTGGACAGGTAGGAATCCGGGATTTGAAAGTCTGGTGACATATTTTGGTCATGACACACTCATTGATGCTGCGTAGCGGTAGGAGAAGAGGCTGAGCAGCCCGGTGCCCTGCTATTAAAATCAGCTTGGGTTGCATTTCCAGATATCAAAATGAGCGGTGATGTGGCAGATTCCACGGAAGCGCGGAACGAAGGCAGCCACCTAGATCCCGGTAAGAGAACCTCTCTCTCTTTTTATTAAATCCCTGATCCTCTGGGCTTGGAACTGCAAGGAAAGGAAGCCAGCCAAAAAAAAAAAATGGTCACCAAAGCCTCGGTGGGTTTGTTTCTCTTTTGAGGGGAGATTCCAAGGAACGAGTGTGAATTCTGGGCAAACAGAAAGTGCCTTTGATTATGATTTGCAACATGAGCAAGTGTTCATTGTTCCTTCCTCGAATTCAGAACAACAGGCACGAGTTTGACAGAGCTATAAGCGTTTGTCCAATATGGAAATGGATACTTATTACCGTTGTTATGCGGTCCGTCCCCGATTCATCCACTGAACATTGGGCGCAAATCATTTGAACATTAGCTGCCAACTTTAAAAAATGGTTTTGCAGATGTCAGACCAGTTCTACTGAAGTGAGAAGCTATGCATCCTGCCTTCTAATTACATCGTAGAAAATAATGATAGTTCTTATTATAAGGGGAAATTTGGCAGGTCTGTAAAGAAGTTGCCCGAGCTACAGCTTCCCAAGAAAGATGGGCTTTTTCTCCAGTTTTCTGTTGGCCTGGGCCAAAAATATCTCTATGCTTTTCCCCCTTTTTCACATGGTTCTGCTGTTGCCCTGTTATTACCTTAATGATCTGAGACCCAGGCAAGGTGGGCTCATTACAAAACATGAAACATGTGTTAATAAACTTCGAATCAGTCTCTCTGTTGAGCTGAGTAAACAAGAAACGGGAAAAGCATTGTGGGTTTTCTAAGTTCAAAAGAAAGTATGAATAAGTTATATTTCCTAAAGTGCTTGGGGGCTCAAACATTTAACATCTGGTGTCACACCCCACTAATCTTACACTTATTTTTGCAAGGGGAGCCACTGTCCGTTCAGCTTCATTCACTTCACTGCACCTCCAAGCAATTATTTTCCTTCTGTCATGGTAGCTTTGTGTTTCGGAAATTGTGGGCTCGAGTGCTCTCCCAAAACATCACACTGTCCTTGAGTTAATCTGTCTTTCCAACATGGGGAAATTCCGTCTCGCTGCTCACATAAAGAGAGGTTTCCCCATATATGCTCTTCATTCGTGCTCGGATTAAAATTTAGAATACAGTGGTGCCTCGCTAGATGATGATAATCCGTTCCACTGAAATCGCTGTTTAGTGAAATCATTCTCTAGCGAAAAGCATTTCCCCATTGGAATGCATTGAAACCTGTTTAATGCATTCCAATGGGGAAGAATCATCATTGTCTAGCGAAGATCGGCCATAGGAAAGCCGCTTTGCAAACCGCCGATCAGCTGTTTAAATCGCTGTCTTAGGTGCCGAAAACACCTGTTTTGCGAGTGCGGAGGAAACTGTCAAAATCGTCATCTAGCGAAAATCGGTTTGCGAAGCAGGGACCAAACATTGTCCAGCAAAATTCCCCCATAGGAATCGCTGTTTGTGAATCGCTATAGCGATCGCAAAAAGTCAATGTCTAGCGAAAAAACTGTCATGCGGGGTAACTGTCTAGTGAGGCACCACTGTATCAACAGTTGACACTGAAGAACGAGCTATGAGCAGTTATGAGAACATCTAACAGGAGGTAACTGTCTAGCAAGGCACCACTGTATCAAGAGTTGACACTGAAGAACGAGCTATGGTCAGTTATAAGAACATCTAACAGGAGATGCTTCCTCATAGTAATAGGCTTAGTATTCTTCTCTCAAGAGCCAAAAGGTATATGTCTAAGCAAAATTACTTTGAGATGGTCTGGAGGATACATCTGGGTCTCCTCCACCTTTTTGAAAGAGATAAAAAGAGTCAGCAGATTCAAAACAATTTGGACAAATACACCACTCGAGGGACCCCTTTGGGGTAGGGGTCTCCCTTCCAGGTCACCATTCTGCGTTTGGGACCTACCCGTCTTTCTTGCTTCAATCCTTGATATCACTTCAAAGGCTTTATCAGCCTTGATAAAATCTGCAGGGCTTTTTGCTAAATAGGTTGCTCAGTGTCAGTGTTCCCATGAACTACAACCACAATGACTTCATTCTTAGGACACCTGGTGTTTTTTTGTTTGTTTGTTTTACAATGTCGAAATGTGTACGTCCGTAGCAGCTTAACGAGCCCATGATCCAACACTAGGAGCAACACAGCCCATGCTGCAGTCTGAGCTTTGTCTAAGAGGCTTGAGTCCACTGCAGTTTTGACTCTCTTGCTAACTATAGCTTGCAGCTTTTTTTTAATGCCATAATGATGGTATCTGATCCCTCCAAGCCATGCAATGTAGCCCCGTGTTTGAGCATAAGCTCTAGAGGTAGGAAGTCCCAAATTCAATCCCCCACCGGTTTGGGTAGGCCTAGGAAACAATTATGCCTGCAAGACTTGAGAGATGCTGCCAGTCAGAGTGAACTATATCAGGCTAAATGGGCCAGATTCCTATGTTGATTTCTTTCCAAGCCCACTTCAGTGTTGCTGGCTTTTATTTATAAAGCTCTGAACAAACTGAGATGTGGATTTCTTATGGATCACCTTCACCCCAATGAAACGCTCAGTCTGTGTGCTTAGGTTCCTAGTGGAGACCCAAGGCTACGCAGGCTACTCAGATCCTCCTGCCCCCTTTTTTTTGGGGGGGGGTGCTGTGATTCACCCTTCTGCTCTTTCCGCCTGTGGCACGGCACATGAGCAAGCAATGAGCGTAAGGTTCCTCGTAGACCATCTTTTGCAGCAACGTCATAGCACTGAATCAAACTCTCTGGTTTAATTAAATCTAAAAGCCTGGATGCCCTCCTAAATGAATGTCACGATAGTTTTAAAATACTAGCCACTTCCAGAGTTATTTCAACATGTGGAAAGACAGCCAAGGAGATCTATAGATGCCAATTCCGCAGGATAGGTGCTTGAGGGGCTGGGAGGCAGCAATTGTGCTAATCTAGTTGGTTGTTTAATTGATCCAAAAATCTCTGTTGAGATGTGCCTTGGCATGCAGCTGGCTCCTACCAGGCCTGTGTTGGGTTTTGTGGTTGCTGTTTTTTTTTTAAAGAGTAAATCATGCACAAAAAGACCAGTTCTCTTTAGTTAGGGGTAAAATCCTCAGAACCACATAGTGAAGGAGTGACTGGGGATGTGGGAAACAATTCAGCATCTCCAGAATTAAAACATGTTACCCGAGCTATAGCTATGAAGTGGCGCAAACTATACATGCTGTGGAGAGGGGGAATACCATGGCCAAAGGTTGGAAATAAACAGGTGATGAGTAGCAACTTTGCCAAGAAGGCATAGCTTTTGAGTAAATACCAGCATTCTAAGGGGTAGCCATGTTGAAGCTGTTGGAGGAAAACAATGGACTCGTGGTGAAAGTCTATGCTGTCATATATCCATTCCAGTTAAAGATACCACATGAGTCCTTGAGATTGTCAGTATTTTTTTTTACATTTACTGAGTTGACTTGGAAGACCATTGCATTTTTGGTGCAATAAGTACCATTCACTCATTACTCCTAAAATGTGGAGTGGCTGAGGAGGTCCTTGTGGAGAATTGTGAAGGGGTCTCCTTGAGCATCCAGCAGGCTGTCTGGCCCCACTGCACAAGCCCAGGTTTGCCGGAGGGGAAGCGAGTTTCCTGGGCCCCTAGCCATACACCAACGTAGCTGGAGAGAGAGTCACCGTCTGATGCTGGACAGCTGGAGGAAGACATGGGAATAAGCGATAGGGAATTGGGGAGCTCAGGGTGGTAGCCATCAACCAAGATGAAAGGGAGATGTCTAGCCTGCATAAATTGTCAATCACCCAGAGAGTGCTTTAAGCACCATGGGGCAGTATATAAGCAGCACGCTTTGCTTTTTAGATATGCAAGGAGGCAGTCAAGCACTGGGACCCCATCCAATGTGCCTCCACAGAGGTGCAACAGGGGTAAAGGATGAAGGGAGCATCTCCTCCTACCCATCTGTGGAAGGGGTCAGGGACCTGGTGGTCTAGCAATGCCGCCCCCAACTGACCCAGCTTTTCCCCAGCTTCGGCATCCTCCCCACACAATGTGAGCCATGGAACCTAACCTCAGCCCAGCTTCCCCACTGGAGGCAGAAGTGGCATCACTCCAGGGGGCTCTGGAAAGCACAGCACTGTGGAGTCCGGTTCCCATCGCCCACCTTGACCAGCCTTCCATAAATGGACTGTGCCCGGGACTCACACTGCCTTTAAACTGGCAAGAACACCACCCACTCACCCACCCATTTTTAGCCTTTCTCCTTGTAAATGAGTGTGTGCAGTCTTACACAGGTGAGTGTCCCCTTTCTGAAGGGCACACGTCCTCTTTTTAAGTGGCCACACAAGCAGCAAACCTCACCATTCCAGTGCAGCCAGAGGAGGAGATCAATTCTGGAAAATAAGCACCATGTGTCTTTAGAAGGCAGAGCAGCAGCCTGGGCTTTCTTGCTGTCCCTGGTTGGGGGGGGACACACACACAGAGTGCTGGGGTGCCTTTCTGCTTCCTCCCCACCTCTTCTCCCCAAGGACAACAACAGGGAGTGGAACTCCCAAGGGTGTTGGCCTCTCTTATCTGCCTCCCATTTCTTTATCAACCTGGTGTAACCTGAAACCCAGATTCCCACAGGATGAGAAAGAAACTATTTCTGGCTTCATCTTGGGGGAGAAAGCCTGAGAGATCCGCATAACCTCTCCTTCCACGAGGCAAGGCTGAACCTTGATTTGCTCCCCTCTTTTTTTTTCATTATTATTTTCCAACCCTTAGGGAGACCCTGATGCTGCGGCCCATCCCCTATCTGATATGCCATCGTGAGTAGGCTGCAAACTCCTATCTCTGTTTGTTTGCGGGCAAACTCAACCCCTATCTGCCTCCAATCACAACAACAAGGTTGCACCACGACGTGTGACTCCCCTTTGATAGGGACCTGATGGAGGAGGAAGGGGAAGGCAAGGCTTGTCATATGTGCAGGCAATGGGGCAGCCCTTCAACAGCCCTGGAAACCTAGTCGGTCTCCACCCTCTTCCCCCGAGCAATGATGCAATGGGT